ACCGGTGAGGACAGAGAAATCCTTTCTCCAAAGGGACTTTCAGGGTTGGAAATACAGGCAGGAAACAGCACAATTATATTCAACTGAGAAAAACAAAACAAAGAAAAAAAGCCAACAAAAAAACAACACACAAACTAATATATCTCAGGAAAAATCATCCTAACTGCATAATCAGCGGGAGGGAAATACTTGGATGCCATTGAGTTTTTAAAGACTTAGGAAAGATAATAGGTAACAAATCAGATGTGACCTAGAAATAACTTTTCATGGCAAAGATGCAGTTATGTTTGTGGGTTATGTGCGCAGAGCCATCTTGTCATTTCTCAGGAAAGTAATTTTCCCTCTGGAGGTGCTGCAAGAGGCTTCCCCATGGGATTAGATGCTCAGGGCAGTTCTGGGATCCTTGGCTTGAGAGTGAAGCCCCTACTTCATTTATGACTACGTCAGAGGAACCTACCAATGAGCCACCAACATGGTCAAGGATAGAGAGAGAAACTGGAAGGATTCTGAGAACTAAATTTTGGTAAGCAATCATTACACATGGTGGAGGGGAGAAGAGGCAGAAAAGGATATGTGAAGCCACTTTAAGGACCCGCAGGACTTACTATGGAGTTGCTCGTTTTTGTACCTTGGCTGCCAAGGATGTTTCTCTCTCCTCTCTTACCTACCGTGACCACCTGCATGTTGTTTCTTCATGGTAAAAGCAATGAACATAAGTATTCAGGATGAGGGACTGAAGTAGGCAGGGGGACTTCTTAAAACATTGTACCCATTCATGCGTGATTTACACTGGAATGGGATTTCTACTCATTGATCACCCTGGTCAATATTTGCTCAGAACAATGAATAAAAGAAGGAAATTCCTTACTGTAGCAGGACAAAAGTAAGAAATACAGACATGCCAACACCATCACAGAAAAGGTCTGTGTCTTTTTATTCTTCCTGCCAAAATCATCACAGACCTTGTGCTCTACTCCATGTGGCTCGGTTGGAAGTAGCAAATGTTGCATAAGTGCTACCTAGAATTTCCTAAAGCCATGGGATTAGCCATGACATTTGGGATGGCCCTTACCACATGTTGAACACAGGGAGGAATGGAGCCCTTTGACATTGCTTAGAAGGGTCTAGCAGAGAAGATCACAATGAAATCTAGAGAAAGTCAGTGACAGGTGGAGGAAAAAGAGAAAAGTCCTGGTGGTGAGGTCTCCTGGAATGATGCCTAAGGAGAGGCCATCAGTCTTATCATTTGGTAAACTGTGAAAGAGATTACACCCTTGGAAGCATCCCAGAGGAACATTGTTTTTATTTCTACCCTGTCCTCCCTAAGAGAAAGGAGACACCACAAATACCTACATTGTACCCAGCCAGGAGGCAGTGTGAGGGAGGCTCGAGGGACATATTGAGGATGTGCTGAAAGAAAGCAGCCTTGGCTGTTGGCTCTTGTCTGTCACTAACCCACATTCCCCATTTCTGCCATTTGTCATGAGTCTTCCCAGATGGGCAAAGATGATCTTTTCCTTTATTCTCAGCCTTCCTCAAGGACATTCTACTGTTTGCTGTACTCCCTAGTGTGACAATATTACATTTACAACATACACTGCTGATACAGTAGATTTGGTGTATATAACTATGACTACATGAAGAGTTGTATTATCTGAACTCAGGTCTTGTGTTAGCAAATTTCAACATATTCCAGCCTAGAGTTACAGATTGGCCAGGTTGGATGGAGCCTTGAGCAACGTGGTCTAGTGTCCCTGCCCATGGCAGGGGGGGTGGAATTAGATGATCTTTAAGGTCCCTTCCAACCCAAGCCATTCTATGATATTCTATGATAACACAAAGCATTCTGTGATTCTATGATTTCAGATCAGATGCTACTGTTTTATCTCTAAAATTAACATCATTGTGCAATTCTATCCCACTCTTCATCTAGAAATGACAAGGACTGCAAAACATGCACAAAAAAATTGACAATTGATAAATATGAGTGATTTAGATAAAACTCCCAAGAAAATCTATGAAGATCCAAAACAAGGTATTTTGACTTCATTTTAAGGAGTCCCAGTTTTGATATTTTTTTGAAAATTCCTGGTGTTAATCTGAGAAGTGTTGCAATACATAAAATTACTAATTCAAAATGTGTGCGCGCATGTATGCGTTATATGCTCTGGTCAAACCCAGAACTAGACAGCATTCAGAATTTCCTAACATCTAATTCTCTTTCTGCACTTAATGCTTAAACTGTCATGATCTAATGGAAAAGGAGTCCCCACACGAATATTGGGGCTGGACTGCGTCTCACCAGCGTCCTTGGAAATGCCAGATGTCTTTTTCCAGCTCACGGCAACACGTCAGGTCTCTGATCTGACACTGAAAGACACTGCAGGAGCAGCTCTGCAGTGCCAGTTCTCTTCTGCAACCCTGAGGTTCTCGAGATGACAGCTGGGAGCCTGGCACCGTCTTGTGCAGATTGGCCTGCATTGTGCTATTCAAACTTGAGTAACACCTGGAGAGGACAGGCAAGGTGGGTTAGATGTTGTATTAACATGCAAAATATGTAGGCAAATTTCAGAGAACAGGAAATATCCCTGCTCCTAGCACTAGGAACTGAAGGATCATTTTCAAAGGAGACAGAAGAGTTTTATAAAAAGCCTGCATGATTTCTTCAAACTCCTTTAAAATTTCAGCTAACAAGGTGCTTCAGCTGTCAGTTAAATCCACCTGGAGACAACTGAAGATACAAGTGCTAGATAATGCTGGAAAACAGAGCTGGGGCAACTTGTCTGAGTTACGCAGGAACTCTGAATTGCACCATCCATATTTTTCCATGTGCACTTGGGTTGGGGTGTAAGTGTTACATTGCTCATGTACAGCACAACATGCTTCCACTAAGAAACTTTATCCTGCACACTTAAAATGTTTGCAGTGTATTTTAAAACGTTCATCTTTGCAAAATGTTACTGATTTAAATAAAGTGTTTCAGTCACAAGAAATAACATTGCCAATTAAACGGCACTATTTTCTTCTACTAACTCTGAAAATATGACTTCAATGGTCAGAGCAAATTTGGGTTTGAAGGTGTTTAAACAAATGCACACTTCAGTTGAAAGCAGTTTGCAATAACGAGATTCAATAAAAAATTCTAATTGTAGGCCTCATGTTAAGTCCTGAAACACATTTTTGGGTCCCCATGTGCCTTGTTTCCAAGATGGTAGCACCTGGAAAAACATGCAGTTTGATTTCTGTAATAGATACGAGCTCCTATGGTCAGGACTGCATTATGCTGCCTGTTTTAGTAGTGGTGGCAATGTTGCTGCAGTTTAAGACTTTTATGCAAGGGCATAAGAACGTGTTGGGCCATGAAAAATAGCAGCCATACACAGTTTCCATGCGGCAAAGTGAAAAAACCAACAGCCTTCTAAATAGCCAAGCCAAAACTTCCTGAATATTGTGCCGGAGAAATGTTGTTGCTTTTTTTAAGCCTGTAGTTCAACTAACTGCCCATACAATTGTATCCACAGATTCCTTCAGGAGAATATGGGAAAAATGGTATGGTACTTTTTAGTACATCCCCAAGTTTACTGACCTCTCTGCAGAAAAAAAAAAAAATGCAGTCCTTATGGTGAATTGAAGTTTCACCATGATTTGACTAATTGGAGGTCTTTTCCAACCCTAATGATTCTGTGATTCTATAATTTTCACATGAAGACTGCCTTTTGCTTCATGTCATTTCCTATGGTGAAAATAATCTCAGTGGTCAATGACATCTTCCTCATCACTCAAAGCTTAAAGCAAAATCAGGTGCAAAGTGCGAGAAGTTAATACTTTCATGTGTAACATTGCTATTTTTTATTTAAATTTATTATTATTATTATGACAACTACTCTCTGTTATTCAGCTTTCTGCTTCTGGTGGTAGTGATAGTGAATGGGATGAAATGAGGGAGATGGGCAGCCCCTCTTGGAAGCAGGTGAGGGGCAACATCTTTTCTAGGGCACTACAAGCTGTAGGATGCTCATGAACCATTCCTGCAGCCCTGTGCCTACAGTGAATTAGTGCAGTGCTTTCATTCTCATTTTCACACCTCCTCCACTACCAAAGCACACACTGTAATTAAACTGGATGATTAGTCAATGTGGAGCTTTTACACTCTATGCAGCGTCTAGCCATGAGGAACAAGAAGCACCAAAAGTGCTGGGAAAAGCTTCCAGCAAGCGGCAGAGCCCAGGCAAGCTTTCCCACACTGCTCTGCCTCCATCCTGATTTACAGCACTCCCGTGGCTCCCCTCTGTGCCTCTTCTGCTCCAGACACTGCCAGGGGTGTGAAACGGCTTTAGTAGTTTTTGCAGGTGGACTCCTCTCCACCAAGGACTGCTCTGACGTGTCTCCAGGCTGTAACATTAAAGGCAGAGCCGGGGAAAGTATCCTGCAGGGACTGATCCTGCTCTCTGCTTTGCCTTAGAAATCCTGAGCAGGTCTGGATAAGCTTCATCATCTCTCCAAATTCCTTGCCTGTAACCTAGGGACGGGACGAGCAACCTACGGGCTGCATAGGCGGGAGGGCGCTGGTTAATTACTGCGTGTTTATACAGTGGGGTCAGCAGAGCGAGTGCTATATGATAGCTAAATATTAGTGTGAAATCGCAGAAGATAACTGCACGTATCCTCCCTTGCACAGCACAGTGATATTTTATCTACTTGTTATTTCGAACCACATTCTCCGAAAGCTGAAAATACTTAGTGTCTGTTTAAAAGAAATATTTCAAAGAACACATGCTGGTTTGGGTTGTTTCCCACTGCGCATAGCACCTGCACACAACTGACACTGGTGAGCTCTTTGCTTTAATAGAAAAGGTAAAATGAAGTGTTACTTCTCTTTAGGCTCTGTTAAAGGGAACACTATTAAAAATACTTGTTCCCTAGCCAACTTCCCTCCCCTCTCCTTTTTTTTTTCTTCCCTTTTTTTTTTTTTTTTTTTCCTGTAGTCGTATCTGTTTTGGTGTACATCTGTGCCGGAATGTGTTCCTCTTGTCTGTGCCCTGACACACATCTCTCACCAGAGCCAAGAAAGAAAGGTTTATGAGACATATGCCACTTCATTTTGGAAGAGGTGGAGGCTTTTCATAAAAGATGGGGCCAGTTCCAGTTGTCATCACAGCTGATGTAGTGAGTCCCTGCAGGCACAGATGGCTGCAAGGCAGTCGGGGTGGGTGAGTTAAGGTTGATGGGTCCTAAGTTGACTGTACAGGTCTAGGAGTGATAAACACCTTTTATCACACAGTTTGCCACACCATTTTCTGCACCACGGAAAGCAGTGCTGTAGCAGCGGTTGCAGCAGCGATTCCTGCAATGCCCCTCTCATGGTGTGTCAGCTGCCCAGGGGTGACAGTCCTGAGGGTTAAGCAAAATCACATTTTTATTTTTATTTTTTTTGTTATTAAGTCTGCTGATTTGATTCACAGAGACCCAGGATGGCTGAGGCTGGCAGGGCCCTCTGGAGCCAGCCGGTGCCACCCGTGCCCAAGCAGGGACACCCAGAGCAGGGTGCCCAGCACCACGTCCAGGCGGCTGCTGAAGGGCTCCAAGGAGGAGACCCCACAGCCTCTGGGCAGCCTGTGCCAGGGCTCTGTCACCTGCAAAGAGCTCATGCAGAGGAGCCACTGGCAAGACAGTTTACTTTCAGCCTTTCTCTGCAGGAAGTCTCTGTGCCTCTGGTGGAGGTAGAAAAACCAAGAGGTTGCACACCCAGGCCAGTCTTTCTTCCCAAGGGCTGTGGAAGTGACTCAAAGCACAGGAGAACCTGAAGGCAAGACCAGCACACCTCACTGGGGCTGGCACCTGGGGCTCGGAGCTGCCAGCTATGGCATGGCATTGTGCCAACCATCCTGCTTCACTGGGCAGGATCACTTCAGGATTTTTTCTTCAAGAACAATGATCAGGGGAGACCCCTCTTTATTACTGACCTGCAAAGCAGCTCGCAGATCCAAGTCAAAGGCATGCAGCAACCCTTATAGGCATAGAGCCTTGGGGGCTAATATTACCAGCAAAACAGAGGAGACAAAACCTGGCTGTTTTCTGTCTTAGCCATGAAAGGCACCAGATGGACCAGCAGCCTGCAGAAATAGAGAGCAGGGAAGTAAGTGCAACATTCACTTGTTGTAAAGGACTCATTATCACCGCCTGTGGAAGAGCAGACGGGATGTTGTGCTCTACACCTGGTAGAAGTCAAGGAGGGATTATATCAGACAGATGTTGTCCATGCTGAGAACACCATGTGGGCAGACAAGGGCTGGATTTCCTGCCCCTTCCTGGCACAAATTCTGTGGAGAAAGTATGGGAGAAGGACTAGGAGTGAGCATCCTTGGGATGACAGCTCTTCTCCCTGTCCCATAGCAGGAAGACAGGTTCGACTTCTCCCACTCACAAAGATAAATTTTCTTCTTTAGTATTGATGCAAGTCAGCCTTCATTCATTCCTGGACTCTGCTTCACTAGCACACCAGACAGTTCTGCAGTGGTTGCTGCATTTGTATGGCATTTTGCAAATTTGTAGTGTCCCGAGTGCGCTACTCCTCTGTGGAAGCACTCCTCTGTGGACAGCACTCCTGGATCCATGTTGTCCTCCCAGGAAAAAAGAGTAGGGGTCACTGTCCTTTCCTGGCCTAGCCTGAGGCCACTGCTGTAAACAAGAATTCTGTGTCTACTGCCTCTCTGCAGGTTTTGGACTAAACATGACATCCACAAACAGACTGCTGAATTCAGTTAGAAAGACAAGGAGAAGAGGACTGGGGACAGGAGCCAGAAGAGGTATAGTAAAGATTTTTCACCAATACTTGTCTCAGGTGAAAGATGAACCTGATTCCATCTTGCTCAGGATCCTCGTGGTCACTTGCTGCAAGCACGAGATTTTACTAGCTTGAGAAGTCTCCAGGAACATCACTGAAGTACAACAGACTGAAGAATGTCAGGCAGTGTGAGAAGCTGAGCTAGGTTCCCCAAGCATCCCCACGTAGGGCAAACATTCCCCACTTTCTCCTCATGTTGGAGATCCCTCTGCCCTTGACTCCTTCCCTTCTCCTCCATCAGCTGGCAAGACTCCTTGGCACCCAGGCAAGGGATGGAGAGGACACCTCGCTGGCACTTACACTTCTTGGGAAGTGGCAGCTCTCAGGCTGATTTAGCACAGAAAATAAAGCCTGAGAATTTGTAACCTGTCCACAGAAAATCCACGAAGAGGAAAAAAGGCTGCACTCCCCCAGCACAATCTGAGCAGCCTCAGCCATCTGGATCAGGCACAATAAAATGTTGGAAAACAGTACCTGCAACGCAGTGTCCTGCTCCAGGCCTGGCTTCCCTGATTTTTATATTAACAGGAAGGTGTAAAAGGGAGGAGTTGAACGTCCTGACTACATCAGGAGGATCCTTGCTGTGACCAGTTCTGGAATACTCTTCCCAGCTTTGCTGAACATGTTTTTAAGAAGTTATTAAAAACCAGTGTGGATAGAAAATCACGGAAATTGCTCAAGTCCCCGGGAAGGATTCCTTCCAGCCAGAGCCCTGCAGAGCAGGGTTGCCCAGTCTGTCAGTGCAGGAAAAGGATTTCACCACCCACTGTGACAGCAGACTGGAGTCAGTGGCCTTGGAGGGCCTGGGGCCTTCTCCCAGGACCACGATCAGTCAGAAAGGTTGAGAAGCGTCTTGTGTACACTGTGTAAGCACCTTTCAAGGGAGAGAAAACTGGGAACATTAGAGCCAAGGCATTAGAGCCAAGGTCTGAGAGCTGCAGACAGACAGGCTAAAATTAGAAATAAAGACTTGGATTTTCAGCAGGAAGGATGACTGGCTAGTCTGGGAAGCTAGCAGTGCAAGCAGGTGTTTGTTCTCCTGGTTCCCTTCAATCACGTTAGAGGTACTTCGGAAGTGAGTTTTTACCCATATCAAAGTTACTGGATCTGGTGGGATCCTGAATTTTAAAGCCTATGATATACATGCCCTTTATGCCCTTGACAGCAAAGGCTTGGCCTTGTTTCCTGGACATCTGTGGAAGGGATAAACGTGGTCACCCTGGCTGATAGGGCGGGGAGGCTGGCAGAAGAAACCTTCTGATGGCACTGTTGATGGTGCCATCACCTCCCCTCTGCAAGTCTTTGGGAAGAATGAAGAGCTTTGTTCCAGGGCATATTCACCACTACAAGAACATGTATCTACCAAGAATATCAGCTGTGATCCCCCCAGAAGTCAGCGAGTTTTCAAAGCTGTCACCGTGGAGTGGAAACCTGTCCCACCAAAGCTGCTTCAGGTTGCTCCAGAGAAGCCAAGAGCAAGTGCCTCATCCCAGTCAGGGACATCCCCCAGATCCACAGGACCCAGCGTCTAGGAGTAAATAAAACAAAAAGCTTACACAGAAAATACATACAGCAATAACTTTATCTTTTATAGTTCCAATAGAGAACTTTGCTCAGCTGTGAGCAGATGTGTATTAATGGCTGGATTTAAAATGGCTAAGCTCAGACAGATCACAAAAGTATTTTGGCAATGTAATCCACAAAGTAATACTTATGACAGAACATGCACAATAACACTAATATTTCAAGAGGGATTTAGAAATAGATGAGATTTACTAGTTGAGAATGAAAAATAAGATTTGATATTTAAATGTACAGGGACTTAAACATTTGGATGAGGAGGTAGGAGTAACACTGTGAAAGGTTTTCAAAGTTCAAAACAAAAGAATCCTGAACTCAGCTCTTCTTAGCAGGATAGGCTGAAGTGAGTTATGTATGCTCATGCAAGTAAAGTGATTTCTGTACATGTGCAAGAAGTCAAGCTGTTGCACGTTTGTCTGCACTTGTGGTCCGTTGTGGCTTTTGCTGGTAGCAAATTTTTTGATGGTTCTCAATACCTTATAGATACTGGTATTAACAACCCAGAGGCTGTGTTGGGGTTACCTCTGTTGAATAAATATAAGTAACAATGAAATTATCAGTCCCAAGTATTCCTTTGGATCCAAGGATTCCTTGGCATCAGTAGAGTATCTGATCACCACCTGAACAGGAAAAATCTTTAAGTCCTAAAACAAAATTCAAATAGTGTCATCTTTTTGGAGAGATGAAGCTAGAAATGGCTGGAGGGCCATGTCAGGAGAAAGTCCAGTTACAGAGATGTAGGGGTAAGGTTAGAAGGACTTATGCCAATGGAACTTGTATACATGTATTCATGGTATGTGGCATGTAAAAAAAAAATAAAATAGATAATCTCCTTTAAGAAACATAGATATAGACATCAGAAACAAACAAACAAACATTTTAAAATATTTTTCAATTGGGTTTAACAGGCCTGAACAAATACTGCAAAACGTATTTAAATCTTTGTCTGAATTTCTTCTGTCTTATTTTTATAAATATACACTTCTGTCTGTGCTGATGTTAGATATTTTATGCTAAAGATTGACTAGCAAGTGCTTTCATGGAAATAATGACTGTTGATGTGTCTGCAGCTACCCGGAAGAATTAGTGTAAGTGTTAGGGCCTGTATTCCTTCCACCTAAATTTAGGCAACTAGCATGAAGTCTCCCAGTTAAGAGTTCAGCTTCAGTAGTTGACCTCAGTTCCCTATGGAGAGAGGTGGGTTGCTCTAGGAAAATTTATCTAAAATTGAGTAGTTCTGAGCACTTGACTCTTCCTGACACATGAGAACACAGGGTGTCTCTGTGCAACTCTGCAGCAGAAAGGTTTTCTGACTCACTGGGGGTCAGGTCCATTAGTTCAGATTGGCTAGGAGATAATTATCTCCCTTCTGCATACTGGGAAGTCTCCTGCAGCCACAGGTTAGGCAGCACCAGCATTTCTCACTTTGGGAGCAATACTGGGATTGACCTTACTCCAAACGCTACCTCCATCCAGATCATTTCTACACTCTTTCTGACTTAATTCACACCATTACAGTTATGAATCTTGTACATTGCTACTCACAATAAAACTAACCACACGTAGGTCATGTCCCAAGAAGTACTCATGGGTCATTTAGAAAACCATTTTGATTACAGAATAGCATGAAGGAAATTCTAAGCATTGAAAATCTGCGAAAGAGCATTAGAAGCAAACCTCAGTTAAGAAGGCAGTGCAAGCTATTCTCTTCCCTCTAGACTTTACAGTGCCTAGGCAAGCAGAGCCACACACCACTGGCAAGAGGTCCTCCAGTGCACCAGAAGAGGAATTCCATCCTAAACAAACACCTTTTCAGGGGCTTGAGAAAGATTAGTAGCCCTTCAGTTAGGCAGTTTGATGAAGTGCGCTTTGACTAGCCCTCATCCTTGAGTTTAGAAGGAACCATGCATAAAAAAGAATGATATTTCTACTGATAAATGTAGGAAGGTATTCCCATTTGCAAGGGTTAGAAAATATGGCTACAGTATGTGATTAGAAAGAGGCAGTAATAAACCAGTGTATTCTGCATTATTGGTAAGGGTATCAATGTAAAGACTTTAAGAGGACTCAGTAAGTGAACAAAATAAGAAGTGTAACATCATTAGAGATGGCCGATATGGTTTTATGAGGTATAGGTCATACTTAATTGAGTGATTAATTTGCAAAGATATAGTTGCCACAGTAACTATGGAAAAACAGAGACATTATACAGCAGAATTTTCAAAGGCATTCAGTAAAGTTATTTCTCGTATTATTCATGAATGTACTGAATAGACTGTTCAGAGGAAAACTGGCTCAAAAGGGTAAGGTTTCATTAAATAATCCATTTACAGGCTATCTGGAGGACATACTGCTTTTAAAAGGTCAGAAACACAGTTATTTAGTATATAGTTATTAACACATTTTCAACTTATTCATGTTCTCCCTTAATATTGTGAGGGCACATCTATTTACACAGCTAATATAAATGGAAAACAGGAGTTTCAGAGAGAGATGGTCAGGATACATCGCTGCTCTGGGTTTTAATGGAGTTCTGAGATGAATCCCCTCATGTTTCACAGGTCCTGGTGTGCCCCTTGCCTATGGTCTGAACACTGATTAGTCGTTGTCTTCTCTCTGTGGTGAAATAATGCCCCCAGTAGAAAGCAGAGGTCCAGCCTGGCAAGAAGTTGAGTTGAGCTGTGCCCAAGAGAGATAGATGTCTTTGCCCACAGTGCATGCTTTGGTCTAGCTACTACCAATGTCACCCACTAAACCATGTCCCTAAGCACCACATCCAACCTTTCCTTGAACACCCCCATGGACGGTGACACCACCACCTCCCTGGGCAACCCCTTCCAATGTTTGGCTACTCTTTCTGAGAAGAAATGTCTCCTAATTTCTAACCTCCTCTGTAGTCATGTTCGCTCCTGTGTCCAATAAGGAATGGAGATTCTCTTTGGTCCTTCTCTTTTCATTAATATATTTATAAAAACATTTTTTATTATTCTTGACCATAGTGGCCAGGTTGAGCTCATGCTGGGCTTTGGCCTTCCTGATTTTTTCTCTTCATATCCTGTTCCTTGTACTCTCCCCAAGACGTGGCTTACAAGTCCCTGGTTCACTCCTTACAGTGAAAATTAGAGTTAAAATAAAATGATTGAAGAAATAATATGAATTTTTAGTAACTGAATATTATTTTTCACAGTCCCAAACAGATAGTGAATCTAAATGCTAAATGGATGTTTAAATACAGTTGTTATTAGAACAAAAAGATGAATCAAGACTTTGGAGTTTAATAACAGTCCACTTTTCCTTGCATTTATTCTGAACTTTGCCTTGAATAGTAGCCACTTTCTAAAATACTGAGCAGAAAGTTTCCTTCCTGTTATTTATTTTATACCCGCTTTTCTCAGACAAGTATTTTACAGATTTTAATGTCCAATTCTTTAGCTATTTCCCATCTGACTGACATTTTACAGTGTTGGCTAGCAAAAACTAGGAGATCAGCTTTTTTATTTTTATTGAACAGATCCTCAGTCAAATCAACAAGAAAACCTTATGAAAGATAGCTGAGTGGTAAAAGGCAGGAAAAAGAAAAATATAACCTTCCTTTCCTAAAATTCTAACAACATTTGGAAAATCTTAAAAAATCAAAAATTTGGAAATATTTTATAATATTCCAGACCATGAAAAATGAGAAGTGGATATAGAACTGGTAAAAATTAAAGCAGCTCTGTTTAAATTAATCCAAATTTGTGACATACTACAATCTGGCCCAGAAGTAATATCTTTTAAATGATATTTTTTGTATTTTTGTATGTGGTGATGAAATCACAGCTTTGTACCAGAATCGTAGAATGGCTTGGATTGGAAGGAACCTCAAAGATCACCTTGTTCCAACTCCCCTGCCATGAGCAGTGATGTCATTCACTAGATCAGGTTGCTCAGGGTCTCATCTAACCTGGTCTTGAGCACCTCCAGGGATGGGGCATCCACAGCTTCTCTGGGCAACCTGTGCCACTGCCTCACCACCCTCCGAGAGAAGAATGTCCTCCTAACCCCTAATCTAAATCTCCCCTCTTTTGGTTTAAAACCATTCCCCCCTCATCCTGTCATTATCCAATTGGGCAAAGAGTTGCTTCCCATCTTTTTTATGAGTCCCCTGAAACGTTGCAGTGAGGTCATCCTGAAGCCTTATCTTCTGTAGGCTGAACAGAGTATCAGTTTGGTTTGAAATGAATCCTTCATTTCACAGAAGGAGGCATTGCATTAGCCCTTTGGATTCCTGAAACGTATTATACTTTACATTGCAAAGTAGAGGATGGATTTGGACACTGGTACAGCTTGTCAAATAAAATGGCAAGCAGAAATCTAATCTGTTATGCTGATCAGACAGAGTATCAAAATGATGAACAATAATTTTATAGTCAGGAAAGACAGTAAAGTTTATTTAGAGAACTGCTTCCAAGGAGATACCCCTGGCTGGGAATTATCCTGCTGTTGGGGCTGGGCTCCTTCCCAGCCTACTGGGAGCCAGTTCTGTCCTCAGTGATGAGACAGGAGAAGGAAGTTCAAACTGCCTGGCAAGGCTAAGAGAGGTCGCTTTCCTAGCAGAAGAGAAGTGTTGAATGGAGTTATGTTGGGAGTTAGTGTGGGTACAGTTGTTGGTCAACAATGGTCCTCTCACATCTACTACAAATATGTCAAAAAATGAGCAGCGATGTAACTTTTTTGTAATATGATTTGCATACCACCCTGGAGAGACATCATATTGTGAGGAAAACAAGCTTCATTTAACATTTTTCTCTAGCTGTTAGATTAAGGTAAGTTTTCCCCATTTTAACCCACATTGCACAATAAGTATAGAAATGCAGGGAAAAAAAAAACATAATACAGTCCATGAAGACACATCAGACAACTTTAAGACATTTACCTGGTAATTTAGACAAGCTATAAGTCTAGATACAATCCAGTTGGACTTCAGTGTGTCATTTGATAAAGTCATGTTCAAGAAGATGGGAGAGATTAGAACAAGAACACTGATCAAGCTGGGAAAGTAGCTTCTGAGGAGATATTAATTGCTTGAGTATAATTAAGTATAATTAGAGACTGTTGGCTAGAAGGTGGCACCATTTAACGCCATAGGCTCAGGATACTATGCAAATAGCACTAACAACATGCAGAAAATGGCACAAGGAGAACACTAAGGTCCTTAGTACAAAAAAAGCGGCAGGAGACAAAGGCAGATATTGTAAGAGGATACTTAGAGCAACTTGGGTTTATTCCTGCTGACACTACTGATCTTTAATTGGAAAATACAATTCACTTTCAGTTTTGTGGAGGGTTATTTTAACAGCAGAAAAAATGATGTTGTAATGAAGTCCTTTGGACATGGAAAGGGCTAGGACATAAATCTTCAGTTGGTACTGCATAAGAATTTGATAGACCTTACTCTGAATTACAGAGTTCAGCTCAGGCCACTGTTCGTGAAAGATCACATCAGTTTGAAACCTTTCACACAGAACTTGCGCTCAGTGATACATTGTAAATCTGTAATAAATATATTGATTTCCTTGAATTTACTTATTCCAGAGTACTTCAATGCATGGGATGACCTGCAATGTCTATACTTATGATAAAGAAAGCTTGAGGAAACTGTGCTACCCCTCCCTTCCATAATTTTGAGATGGCCTAAATGAACTGCTGTTTTCAAAATGATGAGTAGGGTTTGATAAAACTGGTTGAGATGATGCTGAACGTTGCAAATCCATCTAGTCAATCGGTTTATATTTGCTGTTCTTTATATTGTACTCATTAGATTTCTCCATCCTCCACCTTCCTTTTCATGCTTTTTGCATGCAGCTATAAAGTCTTCCCATACAAATCAACTCTGATTTTGGTCTTACTTACATAGTATTCCTAACAGCTCAACTCTTGACTCCACGGTGAGATACAGCTATTCACACATTACGTAGCAGACCTGTGGACCTGGTGAAGTCCCAATGGTATCTTGATAGCTGAAGAAAGAAAAGATAATTTTAAATGTGCTTTCTCAGGCAGCAAATCTTTTAAATTACGCAACCAGAGCACCCCTGTGATTCAAAAAGGTAACCATTTCTCCCACATAATTTAAAAGGAAGAACCTTCTGTAATAGTAAAGAATTTTTCTTTTCCTTTATTTTTTTTTTCCTTTCTCCCAGTTGTAACGTTCTTTGTCTGTCAAAAACCAACTAGTTAGTGATACAATGATGCTTCTAGAAAGTCAAAGAAAGGACTAAAAATGGTCTTTTGAATGAGACATCACTCAAGGGACATGGTTCTACCACAGAAATAAGGCAAGAATTCAAGACCACAATTTTAAGGGCAAGTTTGTGAATTTTGAAATAGAATTACCCCTCCTTGGATACTTGTTTGCTCTTTTGCAGACTTTTAGAGCTCTCAGGAAACTGAAGTTTTTGCTGAATGGGAAAGCTATATATACTAACCTGTCACCTGGAACAGGGACCAGGCTTGGTTAGAGGATTTGGCTTGCCTGCACTGAATAGATATTTTATTTTAACTTCAAGACACACAGAGACATTCTAGCTCTCCCTTACTACCAGAGTCATAAACTCTGTTGCATGTATGAGTGGAAAAACAATGCTCTAAGCCTGCCTGACATGCACTTAGTTGGTTTGTAACTGTGATGTGTCATGTTGACGCTCACTGACCATTCAGCATTACAGGTTGAAAACATGAAGCTTTGAACCCACCTTTATTTTGGTTAACATCAGCAGCATAGAAGCTGGATATTAAACAGAAATTTTGTGAATGAAATACGCTTCTCATTGGCAAAAAGTCTTCTAAACTGTGTACAAGAGCATTAACTACTGCATGAGGAGGAACATTCAGTCCTCTAAAATGAAAAACAAAAAATCACACACACACAAAAAAAAAACTAATTTCATAATTTCATCATATAGATACTTGTTACACAAATCATCCCTGGATATTGACTGCTACACAGTGAGAAACCTGAGCATGCTTCCTGCAGGACATTTATGACAGAATGCATAAGACTGGAAGTGGCCTGTGTAAGACAAAGACATGTCAAATTCTGGGTATTGAAATAATGCATTTATTTATTTATTTATTTTTCCTTAAGATTAGCTTTTTAAAATATTCTATATCGTATATTTTTGGAGATCTGTTCTAAACAGGACAAAACATTACTATAATAAGACTGACAAGGCTTTGGTTTTTACCCTTGACAAGCTTGTCTTTCCAATGAGCATCCTAGCATAAAAGAAGGTGTCTTTCTCCCAAAGCTATGTCCATCTTCAGGCTTTTGCTTTACTAATAAATTCAGTTGCAGCCAGTCATTCCCTTCACCTTTGTGCCTGCACTCCTGTTTGCCCCCTGAGGATACTGGGCTTCTCAGGCAGGATCTTGCTTTGGGCAGCAGCTTCCAATTGCTTCTGTTCTCACTATGCAGCGGCTCTTAATTGCTGCTTGCATTTAACACAAGTGAAAACTAATTTGCATGACTGTGACTGATCCCTAAAATTAAACCATATGTTTAGCAGCTGCCATTAGTTGCTTTGAGCTAGGCAGTGGAGTAGTTTAGGTGAGGTCTGGGGAAGAAGTGACTATGCAATAGGGAAAGGAGGAATGTCCTCAAGTGCCCCCAAGTCCTGTATTGATTACTTTATGGGACACGCACTTTTAAAAGTGATGCTGACAGCTCAGAGCATGCACCTGGGACAGCGTTAGCCTCCTGAGCAGCTGAACAGGACCGATAGCCTGGAAAGTCCTGGTCCACAGCAGGCTGGGCTTGCAGGCTGGGATGTCCCCAGGGTGGATGGAAGTACATGGCTGTGTGTATTGGGTGACAGCAGTGGCAAGGTGTGCGTCCCAGGACAAAGACCTGGTGAGGCTGTAATGGGGTTTTCCAGCCCAGGGAAGCAGGCTGTGCAAACTGTGGCTGCAGAGCTCAGGCTCACACACCGGTTACAGCACCCTAGCGAGTCACTTCCAGTGCTCACAGAATGTGTGTTAATTTAAGTTATCTTTGTTCACACTCAGAGAGCTCTTGTAAGCAGTCACCTCTCCTTCCTTTTGCCCTGGGTTAGCAGCAAATCTGTCAGCAGCCTGCTGCTCAGCTGATGTGTGGTGCCTTGCTAATCGGTGACTCCTGGGTGACTCCAACAGCCTCAGTGCCATGAGGTCTGCTCTGTCCCCAAAGCCACCAGGCTGATGAAAGAAGAAGTAAACTGGCCCTTAAAGACAAGTACTTCCATTCCTTTACACATACAGCTACACATTTGTTCATATATTATATTTATGTAAGACATATATTTATATAAATTTACATAGAAACACAGAAACTCACTTTATGTGAGTACATATATGTATGTATGCATGTGTGTGTGTACGTATGTGTGCATGCATATATAAAAATGTATGTGTGCACCTGCATAGCACATGAACTAGATGTTCAAAGTGTTTGGATTCAGACCGCTTGAGCTAGGAGTTAAGTTAGATGAGGATTTACATTTATCAGCAGTTCTTGACTACCCTTTTCCATAGGAATGAGAGCAGTGCTTGGCTAGAACTACTAGGGTTAACTAAGCTGACTGCTCCTCTGAGAAAAGCTCAAGCCAAAGAAAGTCAAAAGGGGGTGGAGGGATGGAGAGGAAGATATATGAATGATTAAAATATCTAAAAGGAAATCGGTAATTTTGAAAAGCCAGAGCTGGAAGCAATTAGTGGCTGGCTGGCAACTCACAAGAATCAATAAAAGAAGGATGCAATTTCTAATAACTCAAAAATAAAATCTGCTGATAAGTTAAGAAGGAGCTATAAGGGAAAAAAAGAGGTGAATAGGAAACCAAATCTGTTAACAATTATTGTCAGTGCCAACACTGCCTTGGAAGAGTCACGTTTGTTCTACCACCTCCACCCGGCCAATTATAACAATATGTATTCACCAGGCTCTCATGACAGGAGCACCCACCAATCCCACCAGCGCTAAGGAGCTGCTGGCATTTGTTTTTATTTTAATTTATCACTCAGCTGTTTCGAATCACATAAAGCTAAAACTTGGCTTACAAGTTGTCAGTTCCAATGCTAATCTTTTATGCTTACTGCATATGCGTGTGTGTGTGATATGTATATTTTCTGAACTGTAAAACTGCCATGGAAATTTCCCAGTCTGGGTATGAATTCTCCTCTCTGTCCCTTTACTGTGGAGACTGATCATGTTAAAGATACTGACATGTGTTTACTTCCCAAACAGGAGCCTGCCAGATGATGCAAAGTAGCTGGGTCTATTTCTCTGTCCCTTTACACAGGTTTAATAAGTTAATCCAGAGTAGTAGATCAGAACCTGTAAGTGTGGGGTCATCCTATTCAAAGTGATGATATCCATACTATTCCCTTAATTTCTCTATCAAGGTCATAAACACCACAGCCACACGATAAATTGCATTTATTTTTCACCTTTTGATCTCCTTACATTTTCTTTGCCCACTAATCCATTTCCACTGGGACCACTTCTGGCACTGCAAACCTCTGAGCAGCGCTCAAACAGCCCATGCTCAGCCCTGAGCCTATGCTAAAACCCTGTCACAGGAAGTTTCATTCTTTCCATTATAAACATGGAGTTTCCATTCTTATCCCCCAGCCCCAAATTACACCAGTCTACAACAGAGACCCGCAGTAGGTACAGGGCACTGGGGTCTGGCTCATCAGCCAGATCTGGGCATGCCTGTTTGAGATTCTCAGTTTGGGAGTACAATTTTTCTGTCCATGCAAAAGCAATGGACATGAATCTTGCAACTCCCAGGATAGCATCAAAAAGTTATTTTAGGGCAGTTGGAAAAACTCTTTTTTTAATTTCAAGGGCTGTATATAGTTCATAAAAGCTTCTGGACTTCCCAAACATACATAATATCAATAAAAATGTATAAACAGTAAATATCTTGTGAAGTGCTTTCTCCAGAATGTGGCAGAAACAAGATATATGATGGCTGGTGCTGGTATAAATATTATGTTACAAAAATCACTCATGTCTTCAATGCTCCAGAAGAATTTTGCTGGTTTTGGCCCCAATCCTGCAATATGCTCTGTATGGGCAAGAAGTCCTTCCTCGTGGACTAACTGAATTGAAGCTGTATTTGGACCGTGCAGTTGAAAGCATTCAGCTGCTTCTGAGCACTCATTTCAATTACATCTAACATAGCTGCAAGTTGCACTGTAACTCATGTACTGGGAATTTGCATCCCATTTGCTCTAAGACAGAAATGTGCCTCACTGGGGTCCCACAGCCCAGAGGTAGGGATGAACTGTGAGCCTCCAGGTTCCTTTTTCCAGTGTTGTACTCTGAATCATTTCATTTCCCTGCAGTGTAAGGCTATTTATCTCCTGATCCTGATGTAACGAGGGAACCACTGCAGTAATATGAACTTGCAGCAAATCATTGTATGCTGTGCTAGGTAGGTAGGTAGCAATAATGCTACTCTGGATGCCAGACACACTGTAGCTTGTGAGTGGATTATGCTGCTGGAGTGACTGCATACATATGATATGACCCATAAGTCTGCACACAATAATGCCAAGACATACAGATGCTCTGCTCTGCCCACCTTCTGCCCAGCAGAATGTATTTTCTTAAATGAGCTGGTAAAAGCAAGTGTTTTATTCAGATAGAACCAAGTGTCTTATCTTGAAGAATCAATCTACACTGAATTGCCCAGCAACAAATACACAGGCTTTGGAATTTATCTATCTATTTATTTATTTTTTGAAAGATTCACACACCTCTCGCCCTATCAATAGCTCAGCAAACACGCAAGAAGCAATAGGCACAACCTGGCCCCCAGGAGGCTCCCCCTGAGCACCAGGAGCCCTTCTGTGCTGTGCGGGTGACGGAGCCCTGGCACAGGCTGCCCAGAGGCTGTGGGGTCTCCTCCTTGGAGCCCTTCAGCAGCCGCCTGGACGTGGTGCTGGGCACCCTGCTCTGGGTGTCCCTACTTGGGCACGGGTGGCACCGGCTGGCTCCAGAGCTCCCTGTCAGCCTAAGCCACCCTAGGAGTCTGAGAAACATCCAAAACTAAACTAAATTACAGTGACCTCATGTGTATACTTCTTGATCATGGTTTCATCTGTGCTCCTAAGCAGTCTATGGTGTTAGATTCACTCTTGCACATGGCTTATCTTTTGAACTATTGGTTTCTGTTTCCTGCCTCCTTTTGCTGTTTCCATAATTAAGGCAGGCCTTTCACCAGGAGCAGCTTCAGCCTCATCGGTCATCATCACACACTGGTCTCCTTGTTCTTGTGTTCTGTTCTCCACTGTCAGACCATTTTCCTGAAGAGATTCCAGAGAACAGTGGTTGCACCTTGCATGCATCCATGCATTTCCCCGTGTTGCTTCTGTCTGAATGGTGGCATCTTATTCCCACATTTTCTGGGCTAGGGGAGACGTGTCACAGGCAGTCCTAGCAGGGTAAGGCTGATTCTGCCTAACCCATGCCATAGGAGGGAGCAACATTTTTGTAAGATGAACTCTTACTCACAAGATTTTATGCATACAGGCTCCCAGCCAGAACAGCACTAATTCTTGTTGCGCTGAGGGGAAGTTTGCAGGAGGCTGCAAAGTTAAGCGTTTTCCTACCCGCCTATAGACTGGAGCACATTAAGGGGAGGAAATACATGCATTGACCTATAAGGGCTTTTTTTTTTTTTTAGCTCTGATTTGTTAAAGGTCACTCAGCATGAAACGATTAAAAAACAGCTCATGTCTGATAAGTGTATTTGGATTTTTGGAGGTACACTACCCCAGCTGGATAGACATAATTTCTTTGGATTTCAGGAATGCATTTAGTGTTGTACCACACATCGGTGCAATCTCCGTAAGTCAGAAAGCATTAGAGGGATGGTGAGACAGGAACTGTCAAAGGCAACGGTTCAACAGTGGGTTAGGGCACCAAGAACCCAGAGAACACAAGAAAAAGTGTGAGATATGCACAGGCTTTAAACTAGATCAACATCATAACTTTACAACATTATATAACCCACCTACTGCACAAGATTTGGAAAAGGAGTTTCGCAGACTTGGACCCAAGCAGCGATTCCTTGCATGTCAGTGCAAGGAGAAAAGTCCAGGGTGCTGCCCAGCTCCCCGGGTGAGTGACCTGTGTCACCAGAGCTGGTCAGAGTGCTGGAGGGGCGCAGAGCCTGCCAGCTTCACCTCCAGGCTCCTCTGGACAACGCTGGGGCAGGCAAGGAGCTGCTGGGCTGCAGCTGAGTGGTTTCTCTCTCCCACGCCTCAGAGGGGAAGTATCAGATTTTCAGGCACAGTCTGGTCAACGGTCTGCTCCTGGGATAGCACAGCCACATGCTGTCCTTATTTGGGCTGGATTGCAGGGTTACGAGCCAGTCCGAGGACTTTTTTTCCCTTTTAACAAGTTCATTTTGGTGAGACATTTTTT